GTAAATCATACTGTTCACTCTAAGAGGCTTTAAGAGAAAATTTGTGCTTTATAGACCATTCTGGGGCAGCATGTGTGAAGGATAGCATATAGAGATGCAGGACCAGTGCGAGACCAGTCTGGGGGCTGCTGAAATTAATGCAGACTAAGATAATGGCAGGAGAGGTGGAGAGATACAGAAAGATGAGAGAAATTGAGGAAGTCGCACCAAGGATTTGATGATTCAAAGGATGATGATTCAAAGTTCTGCAACTTGATAATTGCTGATATTAGGGCTATTCAGTGAGAATGGAAGCCCAGGACCTAAGCAGAATACCTTCTGTCCCTGGGGGGATGGGGTGGGGGTAGGAGTGAGGGGTGAGTAGTGTTGATGGAGGGGAGTGGAGGTGGATAATGAAGTCAATTCTGGATATACCAAATTTAGTATGTCTACAAGATGTCCCGCTGGATGTTCCTGTAGGCAATTGCATGTATAATTTATGAGCTAAGAGATTTAGGGCAAGATCTCTATTTCAGAATGATAAACGTACAGTTCAGTGTTTTCACAACCTTTAAAAAAAATCCACGTCCATTTGATCCGCCAAAAAGTGGCCTCCTGTCCATCCCCAAAATGAGAACAATTAATGTAGATAGTAAAGAAAGTCACAGGAAGAAACGTTTTTCAGGGAACTGGTAGTGAGAAGAGACCTTAAAATAAAACCTTGGGTTTCAACCTCTAAGGGACAGGCAGAGAAGCCTTCAAAAGAAGAGACTGAAAAGTGAGTTGGGTATCCCCTTTACTGATTTCCAATCTATTCGTAGTAGAGGAAATGGAATCTGGATGGGTAAAGGGAAAGACAGGGCTTTTCTAAAGCTTTTTGAAGCTTTAAAATCTGCCTAAAAGTATCAACCTTCATTTTTCCTGCTGTTGTTGAGGTTAACTACAGTTTTATAGAAAGGAACTGGTGAGTGGACTGCAGGTCAAGTGAGGGGTGAATTAGGCCCTCATTCACCTATTTAACTAAATTTATACAAAGGGCAAATGAAGTTTTTTTTTTCTCTTTATTTTTAAATCAAAGTAGAAAAGTAAACGAATGCTAAAAACTTTCCTCTTGACTTCAGGAAGGTGACATCTAATTCTAATCCGCTCCATGTTGCAGGTTTGGTTGATAAATGCAACATTGCTCATTCTAGAAGCAAGTAATTCTGGCAATTCACTGTATTCCAGAACTACCACAACTTTTTCTTACCCTAGAAAATACTTAGATCAACTCTTCTTAGCTATGGTATAAATTCATAGTGTCACAACAGTCTTGGCCAGGTCTAAGACATTGTAAAAAAAAAAAAAAAAAAAATCCTGGTTTAAATCCAAATGAAAATACAGAATACTAAAAAGGATAAGAATCAATAGTAGTTCAAATACTTAGATCACCAACAAAATGGACAAATATATGAGGGTATATTTTCACAACAGAATATCATATCATCCTGGAAGCAAATGAACTAGAGCCATGTGTATTGACAGACATGAATCTTAAAAATATAATATAGTATAATATTAAGCAAAACCCAGCAAATTACAGAAGGATGTGTAGTGGGACCCTATTTACATGAAAACTGTAAAATGCATAGGGGGATGACAGGGGTGTATTTAGAAGAGCAAGTCACCTTGGAGGAAGGAAATAATGGGACAGGGGAAGGTACATATGGGGTTTCAATTGTATCTGTGGTACTTTATTTAAGGTGGGTGATATTTGTTATATTATAAACAATACTTTAAAATTTTTGACCTATGTTATACTTTTTTTGAGGTATACCTTGTGTAATAATGGGCGTATATGTGAAAAAAAATCAATACTAGTTCAAGTGTATTTGGGGGCTGAATCCTCCTCTAGACTCCTGACATCTCTTATTTGAAAACTTTGTAGCTCAGATAATAGTAATTCTGTTTATTAAAGCAATAACATATAACAAGCTTTGTTATGAAAAATACAGGTAGCTCTAGGGCTGTCCTTTCACAGAACTGGTACACAGTCACTGTCTTTTTGTGTTTTATTATAGTCTATAAGAGAAAATACTGTGGGGTGTGTGTGTGTGTGTGTGTGTGTGTGTGTATGTATATATACATATATACATATGTACATGTATATGTATATATACATATGGGTGTATATATACATATATACACAATGTTTTATATGTACTTAATTTTTACTGACGCTTGATTTTAGCAGATGCTGTTAAGTCAATGATCTGACCCATAGAACATTACACTGACTACAATATTTTAAATGTTATTTTAAGTACAGAACTGGAAAATATACTTGTCATACTAGGTATATAATATGCAGTATTCTTATTGTTATACTTGATGCTGTTACTGAATTAATCAAGCTATCTTACAAATTAGAAGCATATAGTGTTTAGGGATGAATATTTTATTCTATATCTTGTTACAGAATAAAAAAGGAATAGGAATAGTTGGGAAAGTTTTATGACAATTTTCATAGTTAGAGTTAGAAATTAAGGGAGAATGAATAGGAGTGAATAAATACCTACCAACAATGTCCAGCAATATTATTTCCATTTGAAGTAAATCCAGAAAATAAAAGTTCATATTGAAAGATAAGTAGTGCTTCCAAATGGATCACTCCAGTTAAGTCAGTTGCTTGTGATTCTTTTTTTTTTTTCCTTCTTTAAATCAACAAAGGTAACTGACATTACCATCTTGCTCTTAAGAAGAAAGATAACTGGGAATGATTGCTAAAATACTAACTTAATTTTTGCTTTTTCAAGTTCCTTGATTAATTTAAGTAATTTAAGTAACTATCTAAATGTTATTCCTATTATCAGCATTTAATAGCTAATAACCATTTCTCAAATCATCCATTAATGTTAATTATATCCACAACTTGCCAAACACAGAAATGTTCTAAGTTGGCCTATTTCAAAGGCCACAAATGTAGCTCTGAATCTAAATGACCATTTTTAAGATTAGGACATAACATGTATCAAGAATGTTCAAGGTCATTTAGATTTAATTCCTCAGTAGTCCTTAGAGTTTAGTCCTGATATTAATGACTCCCCAAAGTGGATACAGGATTTAGATCCAAATCCTCACATCTCAGGATTCAAGTAAATAATCTGTGTCAATTACTTTTGAAATTGCTGCCAAAAGATTAATTTTAAAAACCATCTGATAATGCTTGCTTCCTTTTAACCTTTATTCTGATCATGACCACTTATTACAAAATCCATTCACTTTATCTCTAGCAGAAGCAAATTACTTGATTACTTGATTATAACCCTCCATTACCTCAATAAACTTCCGGTCCCTAGACCTGCAAAGTTAGCAAAGTCAAGTACAGAATATCTAAGACGGTAGAAGAGGTAAAAAGGCATAGAGATGTTGGGTAGTCCCTCAGTTCTGGATACTGCTTAGCAGCGCAATATCAAATGAGCAATGACAGACATCAACTATCCTCATCTAGGTCAGTACAACAGCCAAAATACTTTGTAAACTCTTTCTTTGGCTCTTTCTAGAGATCAAATCAACACTGTTCTGATTAAACAGCATGCGAGGAGCTTAAGAGCAACCTAAGTATTCAACAATATTTACTTATCTAACATCTTTTATCAAAAATTTGTACTAAAAATAATACTAATCATAACTCATAACTGAGTAAAGTAGGTACTAACGTAAACTGCAAAGGCCAAGAATAGAAATTAGGAGTTGTGTGATACTGAATAGTATGTGTGAACTAAAGACTCTGCTGCCTTGTATAGCACCAAGTATGCTTTCCTTTAATAAACCCAAACTTAGGCACAAGAACTCAGTGTTAACAGGATTTCACCTTTTCTTATTATGTTTTATTTGTATTTGTACCTATTTTTTACTGAAAATTTATTGAAATTTAATTTTTTAAAGATACTATTTAGAAAATGGTCTTACCCAGAGAAAATTATAGTGACATATATTTTAGATATTACATTATTATGTTTAATTTAAATATTAGATTAAAAGTCTATAGTATCACATATACCAATTATTTAAGCTTTCCATTTGAGATGAAAGGCTTATGCTAAGCTATACTCATCACCTTCCCTGTGACTAAGAGCTGAATTGCGAGATATATACCTACAAGAAGTGGCAATCTGTAGCTATGAAGAGTTCTGCGTACGTGTGTAAAGCTAATGGACCTATAAAAGGATTGAACTCCCATCCTTAGCCGCATTAGCACCATGCTCCAACTGAGTTAACTGGTTCAAAGTGTTAGATAAGACAGTGATAACTAAAGAAATAGGAACAAAGAAAGGTTCTATTTCATCATCTTAAGGTTTCACAGAGATGACGCAGGTTTACTATTCAAATTCCCACCTCCTGAAAAACAACTTCTTAAATAACTCTCAAATCACGGAAATGCAGTAATCTTAAATTAATCTAAAGACTTAAGAAAAGAACCAATTATTAAAATTGATGTTCGCTGTGAGGAATACATAGCTATATAAAATATAGCTACACAAAAAATAGAACTCAGTGAAAGATAACATTTTTAAAGCAAAAAAGTTGCTTGGGATTCACATCAGTAGTGGCTAACTGGATAAATGCTAAAGATTTACATTCAAGTGCTTGTAGGATTACTGGAGACAAATTCAATTACTAAAAATCTTTACTCAGATGCCTCTCAGGGTTATAAAGATGAGATGATGCACAAACCATCAACAGTGGTATTTTGAATCCCTATCATTTTCAAGATAAGATATGCAGCTGTTAAGACATTCCAGAAGTGGGTTCATTGACACTAAAAATGGTATTAAAAAAAAAAAAAGACCTCAGACAGTCTGCTGGCATTTCATATCAACCATTGGAGGAGGTAGTAATGTAAAGTGTTGGAATTTAGAACACAAGGTCAGCACTAACTGTAAACAGTTCTAAAGCACTGTATGTAATTCCTTAAAACATAAGTAGTGAAAAAGAATTAGAACTGATATAAAAGCAGAATTTAAAAAAGCAAAAAATAGAAATATTTAGTGAATTTACTCAAATGAAGAAAGCTTAAATGATACAGAACTGAAAATATTAGGATTCTATATACAATAAAAAGTGAATATAAATTAGCCAACTCCATGGACATTTCTAGTTAAGCATTCATAGAAATACATATTCACCTTTTTCTTTTATATAGTAATAACACATACACATGACACAATGATTCTGGCAAAAAGAAAAATCAGAGATACTAAAAATATTCTCAAGTTTTAAAAATGGTATGGAATAGTTTTAACAACATTTTACGAGTGGAAACCCCTGATTTAATTCCATGATCTTATCATGCCAGAAGCATGGTTGGTTTTAATTTTTTTAAACAGATATTGGTATCATATGCATTGGCTTATTAATAATTAAGGCATTTTGTATACACAGTATCTCAGTGTGGACAAATTTTTAGTATTGATTATTTGCTATGACATTTTAAACTTGCAAAGTCTTTTCAAAATAAGAAAATAGCTGCACACGTTTAAGTGTTTTCTTATAAAACACAATCTTCACAAAAGTCACGATGATTGGTTTTTGTGATTCCTAGTAATAAGTCCTGTCTTCTTTCTGACATAGTATAAATTATATTCTTATGCAGGACTGCATTAAGACCCAGTAGTTCTTAAACAATGTTACCAAATAACCATATAAATCCCAAATGCAGCAAAGGCGAACAATCTTCATAGTGCATTTTCACCTCTTTGAAGTTGAAGCTGCTCCTTTTGGATATTTTTCCACTTCAATGTGAAGTAGATTGCTAGGGTTTCATTAGTGGTTTCGTATGTGGCTTTTTAAAGTAAAAAAAAAAAAAGGGGTTTGATCTCTTCCACAGTTCACAGTTCTCAGGTGAGACTTTCTTTCTTTCTTTCTTTCTTTTTTTGGAAATCTAGTCTGGGGGCGTTTTGAATAATCAAATGCTCTTTAGTAGATGAAGTCTCTCAATGCAACTGTAATAAATAAGCATCTACATCCTTAGAAAACAAAACAAAAAACATTTCATTAGCTGGTACAGTAAATACACACATGCACACTCCATGTTCTTCTCCCTTTTTATCACTTAATTTGCTTTAGCTTCCTTGTGATCTTCTGAGAGTAAAAAATGTGTCGTACTAAACTTTTTTAGCTGCGTTTAGCATGGTGTCTAGCAGATGGCACATCTGTTAGGTGCTGAGTGAATGTTCTGGTTCCTGTGATCAAACAACTCTGCCTTTATAGCTAAGCAAAATCATTAAATCATTCCCAGCAATTCCTTTAGTGCTATATACACTCTAGCCCAGCCTGAGGACAGCCTTTCTGATTTCTACTCTGGAAAAATTGCAATTGAGGGCTTTAACACTGTAAAAGAGGTTTAATCACAATTTAAGAAACTTCACAGAACTTTTAAAATCACTCAATACCGTCTTCAATAATACGGTATCTAGAGTCATAATCAAAATAAAGTTTCTCTCTTTATAAAATATTGTAATTGAAAGCAGATTTCTAAGGAGACAATATATTTTTCAGTACTACTAACAAGAATGCATGGTACCTCCAGAACAAGGTGATATATAATACATACTCTATATTCATTTTCTATCAACTTTTACTTCATTTCCCCCTCATTATTGAAAGAACAACTAAAACAACAACAAAAAACTAGGAAATTGATATTTGTTTATAAGATTTTAATCATTAAGAATTCTACAGAGTAAAATTATATAAGTGGTCACATACTTGTTTGAGACATCATTTTTGCTTCTTTTCTTGAAGGTATCCAAGGAGAATTTCACAATTAAGTCCACAATACAATACCTCTTACTTAGAATACTGTATATTTTAAACTAAAGAATGCTTGTATATTTCTGAATAATGACCATTTATGATAGCAGTATGCCCAGTAAAAGGGTGCAAATATTTTTTAATAGTGATTTTTTCCCTCTGCAATTATATTTAAACTACCAATGTTTTCTGGAGTTTAAATATTAAAATCCAAATGAGCAATATATCTTTTCCTTTAAGAGCTAAGAAAATAAATAAAGAACAATGTCAAATTCATACTGTGATCTGAACATTTACTGTCCCAAAAGCATGACATTAGCAAAAGCCAAGTGAAAAATAATATCCTGAAAACATTTGTTACACTCCTCACCCCTTGCTTTCCGAGTGTCACTCTTTTTTGGATGCCTTCTTAACCTTATCTCTAGTTGGAGCTAGTTCATTAAATTCCCTCTAGCAATTTACTTCCACAGTTGCACCTGAAACACATTCAATGGCTAATTCCTGTGTTCCTTGCCAAAATCATATTCATATCCAGAGGACCTTAAACATTTGTAAATATGAAACTGATTTTAGGTTTTATTAGAATAGTACTGTACTGGACATTTGAAAGACTTCATGTATAAATGCATAATACTAATATATTATTTCTAATATTCAATTAAGCTTAAATAGATATTTTAAGCATTACTTTTTAAGTTAACTTTTTTTACCTTGGCTATATTACCAGTATATCCTGGAACCAAAGTAAGATGGTTTTCTTGTTCCCATAATCCACTTAATTGTTGTTTTAAAATCTGAATATTTCTATGAGAAAAGAAAAAAGAATGCAAATATAAGAACACGGACTTTGTAAATAGCACTTAATGAACACAGTTTTAAATTTTCAAGTATTTATCAGGAGAAATTGTACCATTTGAAATGAAGCAACTCTTTAAAATACTACTTGTCAATCTCGGAAATTAAAGATTACTTATTTGTTAAAGTAGGAAAGAAAACTAGGCATTTGGAGCAGCATTTGGACAACCTGGTCTTGGGTATGAAGTGGGAAATTTTTGAGAGCCTAGAGAAAAATTTTAAGACTGTTGGGAGGTATTTTTTTGCAGCTTCATGATAATCTGATTCATCTGGTAGAATACCAACATTTTTACATGAAGGCAATATTCAAATTATGATGATTATAGTATAATTTTTAGAATTATGATCATCCACATTGGATTCTCAGGTTAATGTTTACGTAGTCAAAAGACCTATAGGATACAGGATGCTTCCATCCCTGTGCCTCAATACTTAACCCACCAAAAGCCATCTCTTTTTTTCTCCCTTACTCATTGTAACAGGTATGAGGGTTAAACCACAGTTGTGCTTTTTCCTCCTAAAACGAAGTATAAGATTCTGCCAGAGAAAGAGATAAAGGAGGTTATTGGACTCTGGAATTAAACTTCCATATGTAATTTTCACATGTGAACACTATTTCAATTTAATATTTCTCTGAAAATGAAGAAAATAAATTTTTATTTAATGATGATCATGGAACGGAATTATAACCTAGCTTAATCAAACCACTTTCCTGAAAAAAATATTTTATTAGACTGAGTTTATTTTTAAAGATATACTCACCCATCATTTATAATTTCTGCTTTGGATGACAGCTCAGACCACCACCTTTTTATGACTGCTTGAAGCCAGTTTAAACCAACTATTACATATCTGAAATGATATTTTGTTATTCAAGCGTTTTCACCCAAAAGCCTTTACAAAAAAGACACACTCTTCCCCCACCTCAAAAAGCACATATTCACACTGATTTTTCCCATTTTGGTACTTTAAAAAGCTGTAGTTTATTTAAGTTGTTTATAGATGCTTTTGTAATTACTCTTCAATCAGTTCATATTCTTTTCCTAATTGGGCTATATGCTCCTTGGAAACAGAAACCATGCATGTCTCGTGACAGGCACTCAAAAGCAACAAAATCAAGGATGTTGAAAGAGAAAAATGAATTGAGAACCACATTAGCACTTACTCTTCAAACTTGCTTTTAAGTAGAGACTTTACTAGAGGCAACAAATCCACACAGCAGCCAAGTGAGATGTATTGTTTTTCTTCCTGTAAACTAAAATAAAAACTAAGTTGTAAAAATAAGTACAAGTCATTTGTCCTTCTTTAAACTTACTTTTTTTCTGAAAAATATTTTTACCTATTGGTGAGCACAGGAAGGCAATCCACAACAACTCCAAGGTCTTCTATCCTGTGGGTACAAAACTGCTTAGAGTGCTGATTTCCTTATTTATAACCTTCACACTGCTTTTGAGAAATTTACTCATTCAGCACATAATCTGAGTCTCTACGATGAGCCAGGTGCTGGGGATGCAGCAGTAAACAAAGAGACAGTACTTGTATTTCAGAGTGTATGTGGGGATCTGGTGTGGAAGAAGGCAGAGACAGATAACAAGTAAAATATACAGAGCAAGTTGACGGTAGTAAGTGGTATGGAAAAAAATAAAACAGGAGAGACAGGGAGTGAAGAAATATGTATTTTTAAACAAGGTGGTCAGGGAAGGCCTTATTAAGATAATATTAGAGAACTGGGATGCCTGGTTGGCTCAGAAGGTTAAGCATTCGACTCTAGATTTTGGCTCAGGTCATGATTTCAGGAACATGAGATCTAGCCGCGTGTGGGGCTCTGAGCAAAGAGAGTGCTCAAAGACTCCTTCCCTCCCCCTCTGCCTGCTTGCCACCCTCACTCCCCACGCTCCCCACCTGCCCTCTCATTCAAGGGGGGAAAAAAAAAAGATGATGTTTGAGAAGAGACTTGAATATACGAGGAAAGCCATGCTTAAAATTTTGACTCAAAGGGGATTTTTAAAAGGTTACTCTCCCAAACTGGTATCTCTTAGTTTTACATGTAAGGATCCTAGAGAAGGTAATAGCTTTGTTCAATATGATGAAACAGATGGTTTTCTGTATTTTGGCTACTCTTAGACTGGTGATAAATGTAATTTAAACTATATTGTTGCAAAAAAAAAAAAAAAAAAACAACTATATTGTTGCTATTGAAGCTAAATGAAGGAAGTTTAGAATTTTAGCCGGCATAACACAAAAAAGAAGAGGCACTTCAAGATAAAACATGGAAATTACTTAACTGAACAAAAGCATAAAAGGTCACACTTACCTCACCAAATAAGCTACAAGTTCACTTATACTTCTCTTTCTCCAGAATGTTAAAGCTACATTCAATCTCAAATTCCTGCTGAACAAAACCTGTGCCATTGTTTCATGGTCCTGAGAAACCTGAAAGGCAGTAATCTACTTTGTTAAAAAACATACTGAAACATGACATGAAACCATTTTTTTCCAATTAAATTATTCTGGTAGACATGTTTTAAAATTATGCATAGGTGACTCCTTTTGCTGACCCCAAAAAAGGAATGTTGCAGTTGAACATAGTAAACAAATGATCTGAATAAATTTAGGACATATTTATTTATTTTAAAAAATATTTTATTTATTTATTTGACAGAGAGAAATAGCAAGAGCAGGAACACAAACAGGAGTAGTGGGAGAGGGAGAAACAGACTTCCTGATGAGCAGGGAGCCTCATGTAGGGCTCAATCCCACAACCCTGGGATCATGACCTAAGCCACCCAGGCACCCAGGACTTGTTTACTTTGTTTGTTTGTTTAAAGATTATCTGACAGGGAGAGAAAGACAACAAGAGCAGGAACACAAGCAGGGGGAGTGGGAGAGAGAGAAGCACGCTTCCCACCGAGAAGAAAGCCCAATGCGGGACTATAGCTATCCCAAGACCTTGGGATCATGACCTGAGCAGAAGGCAGACCCTTAACCAACGAGCCACCCAGGTCCCCAGCACTTGTTTATTTTTTTTATCAGTACTTTTTATTTGTTACCATTTTCTTTTAAAATCTCAATAATTTGTAAAATAAATTATTTGTAACTCACCTACAAACCTAGGATTTAATTTATTTTGAGGATTAAAGGCAAAGGTAAATATATACTGAATAACATGGGAAGGGAACCACAAAAATTCAGTTCTATGACCAGTATTTAAATTCATTCAGTCATTTTTTAATATAATAAGGTAATATGTTCCTATTGTAAAAAGCTCAAATAGCACAGAACTGTATCAAAGAAAAAGTGAATAATCTCTATCTGCCCAGATAAAATCTAGTAATACTTCTCAGAAGTAATCAAAGTTAACAGACTGGTATGCATCTTTCCAAATCATTTCTAGACAGACAAATTATAGATACAAAATTAAAATATTATTATAGCTGTGTTTTTTAAAACCTTATTTTTCACTTATATATTATAAAGATTTTAATGTCAAGCATAGATCAACCTCATAATTAAAAAATAATTATATAGTCTCCAGTTGTTATATACTAAAATTTATTTAGATTGATTCTGGTTTTTCCCTATTAAAACTATGCATCAGTGAACATCCTTTTTGTATGTAAATATGTACACTTAACCAAGTGAGCCACCCAGGCGTCCCGTAAATATGTACACTTATACATACATTTTGGTAAGATTAATTTTAGCACCACAACAACTAGATCCATTTTTTTAAATAACAGACTAAGGTATAATTCACATACCATAAAACTTAACCACTTAAAATGTATAATTTGGTAGTTTTTAGTGTATCTGTGGATTGTACAACCATCCCCACAATCAATTTTAAAATCAACATTTTCATCACCCCTAAGAGAAACCCTGAACTCCATTCTCCCTTCTTTCCAGCCCCTGGCAACCATTAATCTACTTTTTGTCTCTATGACTTTACCTAGTCTGGACAGTTCATATAAACTGAATTATCCAATATGTGGCTTTTTTGATGTGGCTTCTTTCACAAAGCATAATGTTTTCAAGGTTTATACATAGTGTAGCATATACTGGTATTGTACCTCTTTATAATGGCCAAATAATATTCCACTGTGTGAATATATGACATTTTATTTATCCATACATCAGGTGAAGGACATTTGGAATGTTTCCACTTTGGGCTATTATGAATGTTATGAACATCTGTTTATAAGTGTTTGTGTGGACATATGTTTTCACTTCTCTTGGGTATATATACATAGGCATAGAACGGATGGGTCAAAAGGTTATGAGTATTTGAATTTTGACAAGATAATGTTACCACTTTTAGATTTAGGTTTTTAGAGCAGAAACTAGTGAGTCAGTAAAAAAGGTATGAAATAAAAGATAAGGAGCTCCTGGGTGGCACAGTTGGTTAAGCAGCCAACTCTTGGTTTTGGTTCAGGTTACGATATCTGGATTGTGAGATCAAGCCCTGTGTTGGGCTACACAGCGCAGAGTCTGCTTAAGACTCTCTCTCCCTCTGTTCTTCCCCACTGCATGAACATGAGCACTCTCTCTCAAAACACATAAATCTTAAAAAAAAAAAAAAAAAAACAAACAAACAATAAACTTATTGTCTTGTTAGGGAAGGTTTGTGCAAGTAATCAAAATGAGAGCAAGTAAAAGGGGGACCTTGAAAAAAATGACTCACCATGGCACCAATTCAAATGTACAACTGAAGCTTTTTTTTGTTTGTTTTAAAGGTATTTGCACTCAGGGGCACCTCGGTGGCTCAGTGGGTTAAAGCCTCTGCCTTCGGCTCAGGTCATGATCTCAGGGTCCTGGGATCGAGCCCCGCATCGGGCTCTCTGCTCGGCAGGGAGCCTGCTTCCTCCTCTCTCTCTGCCTGCCTCTCTGTCTACTTGTGATCTCTCTCTCTGTCAAATAAATAAATAAAATCTTTAAAGGTATTTGCACTCAGAATGTTTGTTCCCTCAATTCAACTGACAAACCAACTTAGGTCCCAATCTAGGCCAGATTTCTGGGTTATATAATCATATGTTCTTTTTCTTCAGGGTATGTAGTTTCTTTGATTATTTGATTAGTGTTGGGCCTCGTCACTTCTCTAACTACATTAAAGTAGGAGCAGTGCCTGTTTTTCATCTACCAATGTAATTCCTCAGAGCCTGCAGAATGCATTACAGAGTTGGGAGCCCTCAAAAAGTATTTGTGAGTGAATTAGCATGACAGTGATTTTCTTTAACACTAAGTCTGGTTACCATCCTATTCTCTAGGGTCCATGTTAATTCACTATTAAATCAAATAGTTCCTGATTCCTTTTTTTTTTTTTTTTTTTAAAGATTTTATTTATTTACTTTAGAGAGAGAGAGCAAGCATACACATACGCATAGGGAAGGGAAGAAGGGGAGGGAGAGGAAACGGGAAGAGAATCCCAAGCGGACTCCACCCTGAGCCTGGAGCCCTACCCACGACTCAATCTTATGACCCTGAGATCACGACCTGAGTGGAAACAAAAAGTCAGACACTTAAGTGACTGAGCCACTCAGTGCCCCCCTACTTCCTTTCTTCTCACAGATTCTATATGCACTTCCTTCACTTCACCTGGAATTACTTTCTATTACTCCAGGATCTTATTTTTACAAGTAAGAACATATTCACTGGCAAATACAATTTTTTTGCATCATTTTATTATGGTTTTACTTAATAACATTTAAATTTCCATCTTTCTTTCATCTTACTCATAATTATTATTCTAAACGTGATGCTCATTTTCATTCACCTATGCATTATGACCATTTTAATTAAAACCAATTTTGGGGTGGGGGGGATGCCTGGGTGGCTCAGTTGTTAAGCGTCTGCCTTCAGCTCAGGTCATGATCCCAGGGTCCTGGGATCAAGTGCCACATGAGGCTCCCTGCTTGGCGGGAAGCCTGCTTCTCCTTTTCCCACTCCCCCTGCTTGAGTTCCCTCTCTCACTGTGTCTCTTTCTGGCAAATAAATAAATAAAATCTTTAAAAAAAATTTTTTTTTTCTGGGGTGCTTGGGTGGCTCAAGTTGATTAAGCTTTAGACTCCTGGTTTCTGCTCAGGTCATGATCTCAGTTCATGACATGGAGCCCTGTGTGGGGCTCGGCACTCAGCCAGGAATCCACCTGAGATTCTCTCTTCCTCTTCCTTCACCCCTCCCTCATTTGTACATGTGCACTCTCTCAATAAATAAATCTTTAAAAAAATATTTTTCTGTTTGTATGCCATAGAAAATGTTTTTCTTTTTTTTAAAGATTTTATTTATTTATTTGACAGATAGAGATCACAAGTAGGCAGAGAGGCAGGCAGAGAGAGAGAGGAGGAGGCAGGTTCCCTGCTGAGCAGAGAGCCCGATGTGGGGCTTGATTCCAGGACACTGGGACATGACCTCAGCCGAAGACAGAGGCTTTAACCCACTGAGCCACCCAGGCACCCCTAGAAAATGTTTTTCAAGCTGTCATGCCAGATAGAAACAATACTAGGTTTAGCAAATCATAGTAAAAGAAATTAACATTATGTATCCATCAAAAAATTGTAGAAGGATTATTTAATTACATGGAAAAAAATCCAAATTTATTAAACATAAAAATCAAGTAATCAAGCAACATGTACAATATGAAGAGAAAAGATATGTCAAAAATTTAATACTGTTATTTCCAAATGTTGAGATTATGAATAATTTTTTCCTTTGGGTTCATTTTCTACAACATATATAATAAATATATAATAATAATTATTATAAACTCATGTTCCTAAACTATTCCTTCAAATGAACATTTTTTAAAAAAAATTTTGAGGCATTATATCATAAAACTCTCCAACTGAAAGTATGTAATACAATTTCTAATAAATTCACAGAATTATACAACCATCATTACAAACCAGTTTTAGAATATTTCTTTCAAACCTGCCCTCCCCCCAAATTCCCTTGAGACTGTTCAAACATCTAATTTCACCTGAGCTAGAAGAGCAGCAAACCTTAGCAGGCTTGCCTGAACAAAGTTTCCAATGGCAATTCCAAGAGCCAAGAAAAATGTTTGTTCCTGGATAACTGGCTTTGGTGGTCTACTTTTTAGTGCAGATTTCTTCTTTTCCTTTACTTTAAATTTCTGCTGGCCAACTTGCCATTCTGAATATTTATAGCAGCTTGTCAACCATTTCATTCCATCTCAGATATCACTAACTCAGTGAAATGGAGTAACTACTGATTCAAATTTGGTTAATCTAGAAAACTGTCTCAGGGAATTAGAATCACTTAGTCTGAATTCAACAGGCAATGAATGACTCTGCTAGCAGAATATGACAAAAAAGCGAGTAGTATAACAGGATTAAAATTAAGTTCATTTAAATGACTTACCTCAGAAAAAAACCCACTATATTTTGATGATGGGCTTTCTGTCTGTGAAGAACCAGAATCACTGGAGTTAATCAAATATGTTCGACTATCATGGCGTAATTTTTCAGGCAGGTGACCTGCACAAGCCAGTTCATTTTCTTTATTTGCCATGTCACAGCCCCCACTTCTAGGGGACTGTTTTTTTCTGTAACAAGGATTTGGAAAAGGATGATACACTTTCTTTCTGCGATAGATCACCTTACGTAGTTTATCTGGGCTTTTCACAGCTTGTCCAACTGTTCTGTAAGAAGAATTGATTTGCTTAAATGAAAAAGAACTACATGAAAACCTTTACAACTTTTTAAGCAGAAAGATTTAATAGGCCACATTTTGTGATCACAATCCATTAAAATTAGAAGTAAATTAAATTTTAAAAATGTTAACTCTTAGATCATAGAGGAAAACAAAAAGGAAAAATTACAAATCATCTGGATACTTTATACTAAATTAAACCAAGAAGCATAATAACTAGATTTTTTTAAAAAATGAAATATATTTGAATTGTGCAAATATGAGTATACATATATATTTTAGAGATTTTTTTTATTTTTTCATTTGAAAGAGACAAAGAGAGGGAGCAAGAGAATGAGTAGGGGGAAGGTTTGAGGGAGAGGAAGAAGCAGATTTCCCACTAAGCAGGGTGCTTGCTGCAGGGCTTGATCCCAGGACCCCGGGATCATGCCTGAGCCCAAGGCAAATGCTTGACCGAGCCACCCAGGTGTCCCAAGAATACTTATTTTGATTAAACTTAAGTATATTTAATTTGTTTACAGAGGATAAAACACAACAGAGCAAACCTCACAGTTTCATATGGTGATTCTCAAATGTTTTGGCCTCAGGATACCTTGCAACTCTTAAAAATTGAGGTTTCAAAAAATTTTTTTTATGTGGGCAATATCTACTGATATTTACTGTATCACTCAGGAAACTTACTGATTCTTTTAAGAAATAATAACCTTATTACGTAATAACAGAATATTTTGCCAAAAAAACCCTGTTTTCCAAAATAAAATATAGTAAGAAGAATGGCACCATTTTTTACGTTTGTACAAAATCTCTAATATTTAGTTAAGAAAGCTGGATTCTCATATCTGCTTCTGCATTCAATTCACTATCAAATATCATGTAGCCCCTGGAAAATTCTATTTGTAAGAGTGAAAATGAGGAAGGTTAATTAATGTTATTGTTATGAATATTGTCTTGACCTCATAAACTACCTGAAAGGGAACCCCACTGTCTCAGATCCATTTTAAGAACCAGTAGTTTAGTAGAAAGTGCTTTTAGAGTTTAAAAGATCTGGGAACGAATGCCATTTTTACCACTTTCTAGCTGTATGACCCTGAACAAATCACAAATCTTTAGTTTTTCTCACCAACTATTAGAGGCAATGATACCTTCCTACTAGGATTGTTGTAAGGATTAGAGAAATACTGATGTGTTTTCCACTGTGACTGGCATAATGGAGTTATTTGACAATAAGTTACTTATTATAATAAAAGAGAAGACTTATTTTTTCCCCCTCTTTTTCATTCTTACCTAACTTTCAATACTTCCATTTCCCACAAACTTTAAAGAAGCCTTACCTATTTATGTAAGCAGCCAACTGTTTTGGAGATTTCTTAACCTGAAAAATAAAACTAGATAGTTAACAGCATATTTAGGTTCTTCTATAAAGCTATGTAAATTCTGTGACTGATATCAACAAATCTGAAATTCCATAGTTAAATTTTTCATATTAAAGCAGCAGTTTCGGTCTGTAGCTAAACACCACTGTGCATAGGTATATTTGACAAACCAATATAACCATCTCCCTATTTTCCATGCCACTGGTCATATATTTTACTTACATGGTACTTAAAAAGTGTATTGACTTTTAATATCGTTTAAAAGAAATATCAGCATGAATGAGCCTTGCAAAGGTGAACAAAAGCACCTCTGAGAGTCCTCTTCAGAATTAAACTACAATATTCAAATGGTATCATATTAAAACAGCATACTGTCCATAAAGTTTTTAGAGTTTTTGGAATACAAAGTTTTCAATATTTCATTAATTCCACTTAATTCTGGGAGATTAAGCAAATTATCATCTTCCTACTGTTTAAATAATTTAACCAAAACTATCTACAGACTTAACAGTTTAAACTATCTGTGATGTACCAAATGACCATGTCTCCTCAAAATTCACATTGAAATCCTAATGCCCAAAATGAATGATATTAGGAGGTGATTAGGTCATGAGGATGATCCCCTCACGAATGGGATTAGTGGCCTTATAAATGAGCCCCCAGGGAGCTCTTTGCCCTTTCTACCATGTGAGGACACAGCATACAAGTCAGCCAACTATAAGCCAGGAAAGAGGCTCTAACCAGATACCAAACTGGTTAGGGCTTTTATCTTGTACTTCTGCCCAGCCTCCAGAACTGTGAGAAACAAATTTCCTTTGTTTGTAAGTCACCCAGTCTATCGTATTCTGCTATAGTAGCATGAAAAGATTAAGATACTGTCTTATCCATTACCTAGAAACCATGCACTTACCTCCTTCATGTTCTTATTAGTAAAATTAGAGATCCTTTTTCTAGGAAGATCAGTGGAATGATCCTCAATATTATTACAAAAGCCTCTTTTTTTAACATTGTGGGCTTCAGATGCCATAATCTCTTAAATACCTAAACAGCAAAACAAAAATAAGAAATGGAAAATACAAAATGCAAAAGAGCCTGATCATTAACAGACAAAAATACAACACTATATAAAAGAGGTTTATGAGTAAAGCAGAGAACATAGTTCTAATTTATACACGTATTAAAACCTTAAACAGAGGAAACACAAGGCCGTGCATTGCAGAAAATTAGGCTCCTGTTCTCATTCCTTATTTGCAATCAGTTAAAAATAATATGAGGTATTTTTTGCCAATGCAACATGTCAATCTCCCCATTTTCTATGTCACTGGCCATATATTAAATTTAAATTTAGAGGTTATGAAGTCAGGTATAAATAGTATATATCAATGACACCCAAATGTATAGAAGCCTAGTTTTAGAATCAAATCAGTGGTTCAAATACAACTATAAGGGGGCGCCTGGGTGGCTCAGTGGGTTAAGCCTCTGCCTTCAGCTCAGGTCGGGCTCTCTGCTTGGCAGGGAGCCTGCTCCCCACCACCCCCCCCCACCGCCTGCCTCTCTGCCTACTTGTGATCTCTGTCTGTTAAATAAATAAATAAAATCTTTAAAAAAAAATACAACTATAAACAGCAGGGGAACAAAAATCAAACTATATATATATGACTAGTTTTATGCCTGATCCTTAAATTTTTCTTTCATTCTTGCAGTAAGGTCTCCAGAGCTTTCTTCTACCTTTGAAAAAATAATTCACCATTTCCCATTCATTCAATTATCTCAAAGAAGGGAAAATAGATACTATTACTTCCTTTATATAACAATAAATTAGTGATTTCCCCCACTTGCATTCAAGTTTCACACAGGAAATTTATTTCAGGCCATGACCTGAACACAAGTTCCTCCCTCGTTCCTTTTTAAAATGTTTACTGAGCATTCACTATATGCCAAGCCCCAGAATTAATGAAGATGACAGACCAGAGATGCTCTTCTAAAGAATCACTTGGGAAGCTTTAGAAAATATATCCTCTGGCCCCCAACTTCAGATTATACCTCAGCAGGTCTCTGGAGTGAAGCCCAAAGCAATTATATTTTTAAAAAGCTCCACAGCATTTCTGATGTACACTCTTAGAAGAAAATCTGCCTTAGAGAATTTTCCAAAAATATGCACAAACATGAAAATTTACAAATAATTTCAGGGTATTCTGAGATTTCCTGCCATTAATCCATGGGCATCCCTTCCAGCTGCACGCCCAGATTAAAAAACCTTTAGGATGAGACTTTTTAAGAAATAAATAATTGCAGCAATACAATAAACACTCCAATAGAGGGGGCAGTCATGTGAGTCAGCAAAGCTTCACTGAGCAGAGACTTAAGGGACAAATAGCACATTGAAAACATAGCATGTGCAGAACTGAAAGGCATGAAGCAACATGGCTTGTTTGGCAATCTCTTAAGAAGATGCATGTGACTAGAGTTTAGGCTGGAGGTGGACTGTAGCAGAATAAAAAGTGAAGCTGGAAAGACAGAAACTGGATCATAAAGGATCTTTTGCACAAGGTAAGCTTTTCTTTCTTAAAGAAAGGGGGACTTTTAATTAAAGATAATGGACTAAACTTAAGCAATTACTTCTATCCTTCCCTGAAACCTCATCACAATGATAGTAATGGGTTTTTAAAGGCATAAAACCCTGGGGCGCCTGGGTGGCTCAGTGGTTAAAGCCTTTGCCTTCGGCTCAGGTCATGATCCCAGGATCCTGGGATCTAGCCTTGCATCGGACTCTCTGCTCAGCAGGGAGCCTGCCTCCTTCTCCTCCTCTCTCTCTGCCTGCCTCTATGCCTACTTGTGAGCTGTCTGTCAAATAAATAAAAATCTTAAAAAAAAAAAAAAGGCATAAAACCCATAAGGACAAAGAAGAAAAGATGAGTTGATGGCAGTAACATTTTGGAAACTGCAAAGCAAAAGTGATAAATGAAAGCAGATCTGAGAAAGCCAAGTCCTAAATCAGCAATGAGGAAAGGTAAAAGCAGAATCCCCAAAGGTTCAGGACTTGGCAATATTGAAGACCTCAAGAAGTGGGGGGAAATGTGGGCTTAAGAAGAAGGAGAATGACTGAATATCCATTTAAGACAAAATTAGCTCCAATTTCACTTTCCCCATTCCAATAAATATTGTATGGAAAATTTAAAACAAGAGTCCTTGAGATAGGAAACACCAGGCACAAATGAAGGAGAAGAATATTGTCTAAAAGGGCATCAAGTGAAAGTTTACATACATGTTGAGATCTAAGCTTCTTTCTACCATTTGTCTCATGGAAGCTTGCAGCCAGCCTTATACACTCCAGGAAGAGAACAGAAGATCCTTTGGGAACTCTGATCAGTCCCAGAGGAAAACACACATACATACACACACATCTAAAAATACTGACATCAGTGATGGTTCAAGTCTCCCAAAGAACTGTTTTCCATCTTGATTATGGTGGTAGTTACCTGTCAAAACTAATGTAACTATGCACCAAAAAGAGTGAATTTTTATCATATGTAAATTATATCTCAATAAACCTGACTTTGAGAAATCCTTGAGAGATAAGAGCAAATTGTATATGTGAAACACAAATGAGACAAAAAACAAAGATTTAGAAATTAAAAACAGGATATAATAAGATAGCAAAAAAAAAAAAAAAATCAGTAGAAAGCTGGAAGAGAAATTTGAGGATATCTCCTGAAATATAAGGGGGGGAAAAAAGGTAAGATTGGCTTAGAGGAACCAATATCCAAATAAATGGAATTTCAGAAAGAGTACAGGGAAAATAAGGAAAAAATCAAAATAAATAACTGAAAACTGTACAGGACTGAAGGACATGAATTTCCACATTGAAAGAGAACAATGAGGGGGCACCTCGGTGGCTCAGTCCGTCAAGCACCTGCGTTTGGCTCAGGTCATGATCCTAGGGTTCTGGGATCAAGCCCTACATCAGGCTCCTTGCTCATGGGAACCTGCTTCTCCCTCTCCTCCCCACTCATTTTCTCTCTCTCATTATCTCTCTCTCTCAAGTAAATAAACAAAATCTTAAAAAAAATAAAATTGAAAAGAGTACAATTAGGGTCAGCATTATAGATGAAAATAGACCTACAACACACATAACTGTCAAATTTCAGAGCACCAAAGAATCTGAAAACGTATAAAACAAACAATATCCCTTCCCAATGACTGATGGAACAGACAGACAAATTCAACAAGGCTATGAGACAATACCATCAATCAACAGGATAAAATCAACATTAATAGAAAACTCCAACCAACAACAACAGAACATGGATATACCATGATAGTGATGAAAGTTAAAACAACAATGGCATACTGTTTCACAACCACTAGAATGGCTATAATAAAAATGACATACAGTAACAAATGCTGAGAAGGATGTGGAGAAACTGGAATCCTCACACATTACCATATAAATATAAAATGACATAATGACTCTGGAAAACATTTGGCAGTTTCTTGAAATGTTAAATACTGATTTACCACATGACTCAGCAATTCCACCCCTACATATTTATTCATAAGAAATGAAAGTTTATATTACACAAAGAACGGTATGCAAATGTTGATAAAATAAATTATTCAGAATAGCCTAAAGGTAGAAACAACCCAAATGTGTATCAGTTGGTGAATGGAAAAACAAAAGGTGGTATGTCTGATGGGAATACTACTCAACAACAAAAATTGAACAAAGTAATAATACATGCAACAATGTGTACAAACATCACACCAAGTGAAAGAAGCCAAACACAAAAGACAAGAGATTATGTTATTTCATTTATATGAAATGTCCATAAAAGTAAATAGCATAGAGGGGTGCCTGGGTGGCTTAGTCAGTTAAGCATGACTTCAGCGTTGGGTCATGATCTCAGGGTCCTGGGATGGAGCCCCAAGTCAGGCTCTCCACTCAGGGAGTCTGCTTGTCTCTCTCCCTCTGCACCTCCCCCTGCTTGTGTTCTCTCTCTCAAGTAAATAAGTAAGATCTTTTAAAAAAAAGTAAGGAGCATAGAGAGAGAAAGTAGATTAATGGTTGCCTATGGCTGAAGTGGGAGTGAGAATAATTGCAAATGGATACAAGGCTTCTCTGGGGGTGATGTGGTGATGGAATGTTCTAAAATTAGATTATGGTTGATGACTGTACAATTCTGTATATTTTTAAAATCAGCAAACTGTACATTCAGAACAGGTGAATTTTATGGTATGTAAATTACACTTCAATAAAGCTTTTAAAAAGTAAATTATCAAATTATAATTGGTAAAGTATAAATCCATTACAAAGGATTTTACACTACAAATTCCATTTTGCTTAATATCTTATACATTTGGTAGCATCTTTCTTGGGCAATAAGATTATCCTTTCCCCTCCAGAGCGTCTGACAGGACTACTAAAATAGTTTAAAGTAACTGCTGGGGCTCCTAGGTGTTTCCACAGTGCTGCCTGAAAAGATACAAAAAGAGAATAATCCGAAATGGGACTGAGTATTTGAAGACAACGATTAGAAAGGATAGAAATTAGAAAGGATAACCTTTTAATGCAAAAATTAAAAAAAAAAGCCTAAAGAGAATAAAAAACAAGGGCTGAACTGTTCTGAACATTGACTATAACACGTATTTTCTTAAATAAAGATAAGACAAAAAAAAAAAAAACAGTGATTGCTATGGATATTTTCTTGAGAAGGCAGGAAAAAACTGGCACGTAGAAGGAATTGGAGGGTTGAATTCCCCTTATATATAGCTATCTCTTATCAGAAAGATGAAAAGGGATCTATTCATATAATCTACTACAATGGCTGCCAAATGAAGAGATTAAACAGCTCTAAATGTTCACATACTCCCTACCTACTCACAATGATGAGAAAAACTCATCATACAGGTATGAAACATGTCCAGACTTTTTTCTCTAATAACTTGCTACAGTTTAAGATCAAATTAATTTAAGCTTCTTTTTATACTAATATACTAAAGCACATCAATTATTTACATTGCATTTAACTCTGCAATTTCAC